TAAAACAGTACTAATTACTGAACATAAAAGAGTAAAACAATTATATGAATAAAAGTAGAGAATGTTCTCTTAGATATCCCTTAATTTTTAATTTATTAATTGAAATGTAATGCAACCAGAAGCAGCAGTAAGAAAATCAGAAATAGAACAACCCTAAAAGTGAAACACTACTAATTACTAAACATAAAAGAGTAAAACAATTATAAGAATAAAAATAGAAAATGTTTTTTTAGATATCCTTTAATTTTTTATTGATTAATTGAAATGTAATGCAACCAGAAGTAACAGTAAGAAAAACAGAAAAAAACAACTCTAAAAGTAAAACAGTACTAATTGCTACAGATAAAAAAGTAAAACAATTATAAGAAGAAAAGTAAAGAATGTTTTCTTAGATCTTCCTTAATTTTTAATTTATTGATTGAAATGTAATGCACCCAGAGGCAGCAGTAAGAAAAACAGAAATAAAACAACCCAAAAATGCAAAGCTACTAATTGTTACACATAAAAGGGTAAAACAGCGATAAGAAATGAAAAGTAAAGAATGTTTTGTTAGATCTCCACTACTTTTTAATTTAATAAGTGGATTGTAATGCAACCAAAAACAACTGCAACAAAAATAGAAATTGAACAACCCTAAAAATAAAATAGAGCTAATTGCTACAAATTAAGGTGTAAAATAATAATGACCAAAGAAAAGTAGAGAACTTTTGTTAGATCCGTTAATTTTTAATTTAGTAATTGAATTTTAATACAACCAAAATAAAAATAAAAGAAGTAGACCCCAGGAGTAAAACAATAATAATTGTTACCCATAAAAGAGTAAAACAATGATGGCTAATGAAAAGTAGGTAATGTATTGTTAGATACCTTGTTTGTTAACTTTATTAATTAAATTGTAATATATACCCACCGTTGTTGGTCCATCCGACTTTCAGGATAATCCCTTCAACGAACTTTCAGGACTGCAGGAAGGAAACCAAAATCTGCTTCAAAAAAAAAAATTCAAATTAAAAACAGAACACCAATTAGCTTTTCATCATAATTTTCTTTAATTTGTGACTTTATCATAAATGTGACCTTAATTATTTTTACAAATTCGTAAAAATAATAGAAAAGAAAAAAATTAAGCAACCCTGAAAATAAAACAGTAGAATTATAATCGTTACACTTAAAAAGTAAAATAAAAATGACCAATGATAAATAGTAAATGCTTTGCTGTATTCATTAATTTTTTATTTATTAATTGAATTGTAATGTACCCACTGTGGTTTTCAAATTATAAATAGATTTTTTTTTTAAGTTTGTGACTATAAATAAATTTGATTATGATAATATTAATACACCCTAATAGTAAAAACTAATACAACCTTAATAATAAAGAAGGAGTAATTTTTTTATTTATTTTATTGTAAAATACTCACCGTTGTGGCTCCATCCGGTTTCCCAGGATAACCGCTTCACCGACCATCCAGGACTCCAAGAAGGATTACCAGAAGCAACTTCAACAAATAATTTTCAAATTATAACTAGAGTTCTTGTTAGTTTGTGACTTTATAAATAAATTTGATTATGATAATTTTCATACACACGTAAAAGTGATATAGAAACCAAACAACCTTAATAATAAAAAAGGAGTAATTTTTTATTTATTAATATTGTAAAATACCCACCAGTGTGGCTCCATCCGGTTTCCCAGGATAACCGATTAAACGAACATCCAGGACTCCAAGAAGGATAACCAAAAGCTGTTTCAACAAATAATTTTCAAATTAAAGACAGAACACCAATTAGCTATTCATCATAATTTTCTTTAGTTTGTGACTTTATAATAAATTTGTTTTTTTTATAAAATCGTTAAAATGATAAACAATAAGAGAAATTAAGCAACTCTGAAAATAAAACTGTACACGAACATACAGCACTCCAGGAGAAGAAATCCAGAAGCAACTTCAACAAATAATTTTCAAATTATAACTAGAGTTCTTGTTAGTTTTGTGACTTTATAAATAAATTTGATTATGATAATTTTCATACACACGTAAAAGTGATATAGAAACCAAATTTGTGTATTTATTATCCAGATGTTATTGTAAATATTACTGTAATAATAACAGGGGAAAAGGGAATTTATTATGGGGTGAGAGTGAGACTAAGANAATTTGATTTTTATAATATTCATACACACGTAAAAGTGATACAAAAACTAAGTTAAATTAAATAAGTAAAATAATAATAATCAATGATAAATAGCAAACGTTTTGATTAATTAAATTGTAATACACCCACCGGTTTACCATTTCATTCCAAGGATAATTGCTTGAACGTACATCCAGGACTCTAGGAAGGAAAAGTAATAGCAGCTGCAACAAACAATTAGGAAATTAATATCACTACAACAATTAGTTATTCGTCTCGGTTTTTTTCAATGTGTGAGTGAATTCTAATTTTATAAAGTTTAATATTCAAATCATGTTTAAATGATAAAATAAAAATAAAAAATTAATAACTGATAATAAAAAGTGCTAATTATGGCACATAAAAACGTTAACTTTTTAATTTTAATATGCTGATTTGATTTTACCACAAAGTAAAATAATGACGACAAATGACAACCAGAAAGCGTTTTGTTGGACTCCTTAATCCTGTCGACCATTCCATCCTACACGAGAGCCGACATCGAAGACTCCAGGATTGAAACTTCATCATTTTCTCTGAAAAAGAGTTTACTATTAAAATTTTTCTGAAACAAGATTGTGCAATTTTTCATGATTTCTACAAATTAGTCTCATAAGAAATTTACTAGTGAAATTTAATAAAGAAAAGGCTGAAAAATATGTAGAAAAAGTTTCTAATATTCAGTGGTAGTATCAGATTTGAGGTGATCATTAATACATCATTAAGCTAACCCTTAACTGATTACTTAAAAGGTATAAAAAGTGTAAACAAAAAGCACGCATGTAAATTTTAGAAAGGTTTAAACATTATTATGACCACTATAAGGGATGACAAATGTGAAAAAAAAATGCAAAATTCAGTGATGGCATCAGATTGTAGGTGCAATCTCATATAATTAACCTAGCCCTTCATTGATTGCTTAAAAACAATAAAAAGTGTAAATACAAAAACGCGCGCGTAAATATTCAATCTATTAAAATATTATTCTGAACATTTTAAAGGATGAATAATATGTAGAAAAATATGCAGAATTTAGTGGTGGCATCAGATCTGAAGTGCGGTCTGATATAAGGAACCTACCCCTTCATTCATTGCTTACAAGACGTAAAAAATGTAATTATAAAAACGCGCACGTAAATTTTCAATCTGTTAAAACATTACTCTGGACGTTCCAAGGGATGAATAATATGTAGAAAAGAATGCAGAATTTAGTGGTGGCATCAGATTTGAAGTGCGGTCTGATATAAAGAAGCTACCCTTTCATTCATTGCTTTCAAGACGTAAAAAATGTGAATACAAAAACGCGCATGTTAATTTTCGATCTGTTAAAACATTATTCTGAACATTCTAAGGAGTGACTAGTATGTAGAAAAATACGAAAAATTTAATGGTGGAATCAGATTTGAGGTGCGGTCTGATATAAATAAGCTACCCCTTCATTCATTGCTTTCAAGACGTAAAAAATGTAATTATAAAAACGCGCACGTAAATTTTCAATCTGTTAAAACATTACTTTGGACGTTCCAAGGGATGAATAATATGTAGAAAAGTTTGCAAAATTTAATGGTGGTATCATATTTGAAGTGCGGTCTGATATAAAGAAGCTACCCTTTCATTCATTGCTTAAAAGACGTAAAAAACGTAAATACAAAAACGCGCATGTTAATTTTCGATCTGTTAAAACATTATTCTGAACATTCTAAGGAGTGACTAGTATGTAGAAAAGTACGAAAAATTTAATGGTGGTATAAGATCTGAAGTGCAGTCTGATATAAATAAGCTACCCCTTCATTGATTGCTTAAAAGTCGAAAAAATGTAACTACAAAAACGCGCACGTAAATTTTCGTTATGTTACATTATTCCGAATGTCCTAAAGGATGCAGAATATGTAAAAATATATGTACAATTTAGTAGTGGCATCAGATATGAGGTGAGGTTTGACATAATTAAGCTACCCCTTAACTAATTGTTTAAAAGGCATAAAAATTAGAAATACAAAAAAAAGCACATAAATGTACGAGCTGTTAAAACATTATTCTAAACATTCTAAGGGATGAAAATTATGTAAAAAGGTATATAGAATTCAGTGTTGCAATCAGATTTAAGGTACGATCAGACATAATTAAGCTACCCCGTAATTAAATACTTAAAAGGCGTTAAAAGTAGTTACAAATACTTAAAACGAGCCTGTAAATTTTCGATGTGTTAAAACATTATTCTGAACGTTCTAAGGAATGAAGAATATGTAGAAATGTATGCAGAATTCAGTGGTAGAATTAATTTTTTTTTAGTAGTTCCGAATAGAAATGAGTAATGGTTTCCAACTAAATTTTACAAGAATGTATGTTTAATAATAATGTTACTAAATAAGTAATTAATTATTCCTACGTAATAGTTTGTGTTTTTTCAAGGATACTATGAAGTTTCACGCAAAAAAGTTATTTTCCTAAAAAAGACGTTTTATATTCTTCTTTATAGATACAATATTAGGATTGTAATATTTGCTGTATGTTGAGTTGTCTATATTTTATATTACAAATTGTTGTTTAAATCATTCCAAAAGGAAAAACGTAAATAAGTATCCCTAACTGTATCTATACGGGAAAAATATAATTAACGATGAAAATTTATCCATTTACTTCAATGAAACTAGAATATATAGCCTTTGTTTTAAATTGTCCCGACGCCTCCACCAAAATATACCATAAAATTATTTAATAATTGCTGACAGCTTTTGTATGTCTTCATGAATGCCCGGATTTTTTAACTAAAAACTCAAAATTAGTAACTAAATACTCTTTAATAACAATATACAATGGTTTTCATTGAAATAGAAGAAGATTTCTTTAAAATTATTACTAATTAATTGATTCTTTGTAAGGTAACATCGTAGCCAGTCTGATTAACGAAAATGATAAGTTCAGACCTTTAGACCCTGAAAATACTTCTAAACGAGATAAAGAAACGCTGATAGTTATTAATAAAAGGCAGTATAAGTACACATATTAAAAATAAACAAAAAAAAACAATCTAGGCAATTAAGATTGATTCTAGATTCTACACGTAAATGCAAACCTTTCAACCCTTAATTGCCTAAATTCTTTTGTTTACTCATATTCACACTAATAGAAATAAATGGCACATTTAAAGTTTAAAGTTCAATTTCCAAATAAGTTTATAAAATTTTAAAACAAATTTTTGTGAAAAAAAGCAAAACCATCCCAGTAACCAAGGGCCCCCCATTTATCGTTTAATCCGCAACCACCTACGAACTTCCATATTACGCGTAAGCGCAATGAAAGCTGTAAGTAGCTGAAGATTAACCGATAATGAGCGTCAGCCTGGCCCAGCCGGATGATTAGTAATATACGACGTCTAGGCATATCTCTCCAGCTACTTCCTGAACCCTGCGTACACCTATGGCCACTCAGTGCACGGGCAGTACAATAACCTTCGAGATATAACCCTATTACCACCGATGTAACCAACTAGCCGTTCTCTTATACCTCTCGCGCGGCTTAAAAGTAGTGTGAGCGCTAAGCTGTAAATAATTTTGCCTTCTCAGTTTTACAAAAAATTAAACTTTCTACCCAATAAATACTAACTAAAGCATGAATTGAAGTAATTTGTAGAAAGATTTCTACCTAAC